TGACTTACCTGGTTCGTGAGGCAGCTTACGCTACTCGTATCCAGTGATATAACCTTATTATGGTGAAGGATATTTTGCTCCTGCGCGACGAGTTAACATATGACACCCGAGTAGTCATGCCCGACAGCCTGTTCCCTTCGGTGCTCACAGATCTACAGGTAGGACTGACTTAAGATGTTCTAAATCCCGTCAACTTATTAAAAAGGCACATTTAAATTTTTAGTTGCCCGACTTTCCAATTTTTTTCCGCTCGCAGAAAAGATACTGCGGAACCGATGTCCAAAACTCCTATGGACAGAACAATCTGTCTTTGAAGCAAAAGTATTAAGGGGAATAGCTAACAAGTCAAACGGGTTATTTACGTACGCATGTAAGACATGACGCAATCGAGATTTTTTTGTCTGAAAGATAACCAGATTAACAAGTTTACCATTAACTCAGACAAGGCGAACATCTTTTCTAATTTCTTTATGTGTGTGTATACCCAATAGCCTCCCTTTAACGAGGATGCACAGCGAATTATTTTCCCAACGGCAAATGCAATTACCGTACTATCATTCGCAAAAGACACAGTAAAAAAAGCCCTGAAACAACTACAGTCTACTAAATCTCCTGGTCCGGATGGTATCTCAGTGAAACTTCTGAATGAGCCAGCAGAACAAATGGCCTCCTCACTTTCCCAGATTTTCGATGGTTCGACAGAGAAGGGGTTTGGCCTAGCGACTGAAAGCTAGCCAACATAATCCCTATTTATAAAGGAGGAGAAAAAACTTCACCTAATAGCTTTAGACCAATAAGTCTCACAAGCATTTGTTGAAAACTAGTTGAAAAAGTAATCAAAATGGAACTAATTAGACATACTGAGGAGAACAACTTGCTAAGCGCAGTGCCACATGGATTTAGAAGTGGTTGAATTTGTCACACTAACTTGTTAATATCCATGGAAAGCTGAAAGAATTCATTGAAAAGGAGTTCGTCAGTCGATGCGATCTACGTTGACTTCAGCAAGGTATTAGACAAGATTTCGCACAGACGACTGATATCAAAGCTGCATCAAATGGGTGTGACTAGAAATTTACTCAGATGGTAAGCCGACTTTGTAACAAGCAGGCGTCAGCGTGTTTGTATCGGAGGTACCAAATCAGAACGGAAAATCATTTCCTGTGGGCTTTCAGAGAAAAGCCTTCTGGGTCCCATTCTGTTTCTGGTATAAGTGAACGACTGCTTGATTGCCTTATCGTGACAAAGTAATGCTTGCAGACAATCTAAAGATTTGGAAGTCAATCGAAAGCTCGCGGAGATAGGCAGACCTTACAAAATGACTTTGATCGCTTGCAAAAGTGGTGTGATCAGTGGTTGCTCCAGGTCAATTTTAACAAATGCCAAGTCATACGCCTATGGCCTAGTTGCAAAAAGAAGATGCAATTCGGATATGACTACTTTACTGGAGGTCAAAAACTCGGGCAAGTGAAGGAACTAAGGGATCTAGGTGTATGTATGACACCCACCCTCAAACCCTCAAATCTCTGTGCCAAAACGAAAAAGATTATAAGACCCTTCGTCTATTTTGACGTGAAGATCTTTGGGTGAGTCTTCGGAAAAGCTGTTTGGCCGATATTACAATATTGCGTCCAGGCGTGGTGGCACTGGAGGAAGCAAGAGTAGGCAGTGCTGTAGAAATTTCAAAGAAAGACGGCCAAATTAGTCAGCGGTCGAAGAGTTTTACCACATGGACGTGGACTCGAAAGGCTCAAGCTTTTTCGTCTGTATTGTATTCAATACAGAGTAGATATGATCATGGCGTTAAAACTCACCAGGGGAGTAGAATG